GGCCACCACCACGAGCCAGAAGCCCACACTTTGCACAGGGCAGAGAGGCATAAGATACGGCTGCCACTGTGACCTGATGGCCTGTGCTTCAGACAAGACTGGTGGGTTAGCAGGAACTTTTCCTCCCTTCCTGTTTTGGGAGCAGAGCTGGGTGGCAGGTTTTTTCCAGGGCCATCTTGGCCTCCCACTCTACCCCTAGCTTTAGGATAGGGCTAGGTTTGGTTCCAGTAACATACAGAGATTCTCTCTGTGAGTAGTGAAATGGGCTGGTCCATTGTTGCCTGAATTAACCAAAGCCTGAATTCAGTGTGATGGCAGCAAGGGAAAATATAACTCACCTGTCAGATTTGCACTTGCACAGTGTCTTCATTTCAACTGCTACCCATGAAAAGTAGTTATTATGAGCTTAGTCTGCCAACACAGTACCTGATCTCAACCATGCAAAGTTAGGATGTATAGTTGCTTTGCATGAATTGCAGCAAGATGTAAAGAGGAAAAGCCCTTTGCCTCACCAGCATCACATTTAAATCAGGCCTAAGCCATAAAAGCCTCACTTCCTTATTTGCGAGATCATTCCCTCTCTGGAGTTATCATGAGAAATTGTGAAAGATCATTACAGTGCTATAGAGATGACACAGCCTGGCAATAAGAATTCTTGTGTGCCCTTGTCTAGTCCTATTCCACATGAGTAATGGCTTACCATAAAACTGAATTGATGCTATATTTATACTGTCCAGATGTCCCTAGAGTGCCTGTATAGAAAAATTGCTTTCTGCTTTCTATATCCACATGCCTTCTCCTGTGATTACATTATGATAACATGCTGTGTCTTATTTCCTGTTGCAAGTCAAATGGTGAGGCCACATGGCCTCAGTAGCCATGCCATAAACCCACATTCTTTCACACTTTCATGCCAAATGCCAGACCTCATGGCTACACTTTTTGGCCCACTTGCAACCAGTCACATACACAATGAAGTAGCTGGAGTTTGGGTCATATGACTGCAGGCGGGGTCCCAAATTTATAGCCTATCCCCACATGCTGCTATGGCAACCAACACTTGGGCACACCCATGCCCACTCGCAATTGGCTGATGGTCACATCTAATTTGTGACTGGAATTGGGGTATAATTGTTTGATCCCTATGGGAGTGAACTCTTCTTCCTGTTATTTTTGTAATCTCTGGTAGTCTATGCTAAGCTCGGTACTGAATAAAGATCCTTCTTATTGCTAATTTGTCTCTGGTGTTGTAACTGAATTCCAAGTCTAAGTCTTGTGCCTAACCCTGACCACATACGCTACCTTGGTAAGAGTGTGCATCTCTGGATAGAGTTGCTACTGTGTTAAATCCCAGATGCTAACTAAGGGTTGGAATCTCTCCCTTAGGAAAGGCAGGGACTAGTGAAAAGAGGTTCTGGTGGCAAATTGTTGTGAAGACCAGAGATGGTACAGACTGTCTCGTGGCTTGTTGTTTAATGTACTGAAAAGTACAGGATTCCCTCCCATTCCTGGACTGGCCTGGGTGGGCTAATCCCTGTACAGTGGCTTTCTGTGGTGATCCATCCAAAGGGCAGGAATACTAAAAAAAAATCAATTAATTATAAAATTTAAAAATAAATTACTGAATTTCAGGTTCTTTGGACAATACATTGCAATTAATTTATATGATAAAAATGTGTAGAAGGATGACCTTTCATGTTCCAATAAATAGAGGACACTTTTCTCTAAAGCAACTGAGCACTGAGGTGTTCCCTAGGTAGCTCAGTCTCTCTTATTTCCTCATTCTTCTACAGGAGGCAGGTCTCACATGCTTGGTGATTCCTGTGTAGTCTCTGTTTGTGATCAAAACCATCAGAAAACTCTGGATGTTCCCATGAAAATTATTGACAATAGAGTCAAGACAAACAAAAGCACATCTTGTTTCACACAGCAGGTGGCTGACTTGTGGAACTCACTGCCACTAGATGTGGTGTTGACAACTGGTTTAGATTGGTTTAAAAGGGGACCAGGTAAATTTGTAGAGGATAGGTATGTTGCTGTTAGTCATAACAACTGAATGAGGCCTTTGGGTTCTAAGGCAGAATGCCTGATTATTAGGTGCTGAGGAGCAGTCAGGCAGAGGGGCTCCTGCCCTGTTTGTAGGCATCTCTAGGGTATTTGGCTGGCCACTGTTCGAAACAGGATGCTGGACTAGAGAGCGTTGGTTTGACCCAGCACGGCCACTGTTTTCTTCAGTGCATCTATGTAGTATTTTTATCCCATTTTTCTTCCCAACGAGGACCCAAAGCAGCTTACAAAAATACACATTTAAACAAATTTACAAAAACCACAATATACAAAACAAAGGCCAAAAAGCAGAGAAGACATCCTAGACTCCTGTCCATCAGCTGATTCCATCTGGCCAAGGCCACGGCCTCTGAACCATGGGCTCAGGCCAAAAGCCAACAGCCCTTTGAGTCCGGACCCCAGCCACACACAGGCTTTAAGTACTACAGCATCGTGTTGTCCTGGACTGGGTGACAGTCATGAACCTGGAACACCAGCAAGGCACCCAAACACCATACAGCAGACAAGACAAGCGATGGTGATGTGGAGAGGATCTGGCATATTGCCTATCAGCCACCATAGTGAAACAGAATCTTGAATCTTTGCACTGCAGACCAATATGGCTAAAGAGCAATTCCAGAGATGCAGGTGGCCAACAAAGATTATCCCAGCATCCCACAGACTAATGGATGTATTATGGAGCAGACGGAGACTGCAGTCCTATGAGAAAGTCCCATTGAATGCAAAGCGATTTAATTCAGAGTAGACCAGGATTACACCCCCCACCCCCACCCCGAGAACACAGTCGGCGTTCCTCTTCGAAGCGCAGCATTGCCCCGGGGCGAGCGAAAGGCGCCTTGCACAGGCTCAGAGGCCCAGCTTTCTACTAGAACTCCGAGGGCGGGGACACCTGACCCAGCCCAGCTTCATTGGCTGAGATGCCATCCGTGCAGCGCCGCACGCTCGCCAGCTCCGCCACGCAGCAGGCGGCTTGGAACTCAGCCCAACGCTGGTGATGCAGGCCGAGGGCGGGAGGAAGAGGGCGAGGCGGGGCGGAGCACCAGATCCCCAGATAAACTCGCAGACCTCGGGGAACCCTGGAACGGAAGAGGCAGCAGCTGGCGCCGCCACCCGCATTGCCAGAGATGCCTCCCCCCCCCCTCCAATCATCTGATGCGTTTGCGAGAGAGGCGGAGCTGAAAAGTCACCCCTTCCTTTCCTCGGTCGGAAACGAGCGGTTCGGGTCCAGCCAGGCATTGTCTCGGCTGGACAGTGGCTGGCGCTTCTCTCCGTTATCCTCTTGATTAATCGCGGACACAGTTGTCGTGTGAGAGCGCAATGCATGAAGCAGTCTGGCTTTCCGGCTCCGTCTACCTGAGCAACAGCTCCAGAAGGGCTTTTTCCAAGCACCTGTTGCTGCCACCCGCTCAGGCGCTTTCGATTGGGCTCAGCGTCTCGTTTAAACAGTCGTGTAAACCTTGCGAAGCAGCTAGTCGCTGCTCCAGCAAAAAGGCTGCTGTTCTGTGCCTTGCAAACTAAGCAAGTGTGGCTACTTTATGCGAGTTATACCACGGTTAAAGGACTCCCTGAACCCGTGCGCGCCGATCCTTTGCTTCGCCAGTTTCTTTTAAAGCATGCATTGTGATCAGAGACGCCGGGACTGAAGCCGAGCCCTTTGGCACGCGAAGCAGGTGCTCCTCCTCTGGGCGCCTGGTCCAAATGTTCAGGTTTTACAAACCAGATACGTCTGAAAGCGCGGGCTGCGTCTCCCAAAAACCTAACGCTATTTCCACAGCAGTAAGAGATGGCGTTTGACACGCACGTGGCCCAGGAAAGTGGATTTTGGAACACAGTAAATAGGGAGTTGATGCTCCCGTGTGCCACCCCACAGCCCCCCCCCACTCGTGCATGCTTTTGCCCGAACCCCCACATTAAGAAAATTTCAAAAAGATACATTCAATTCGACCAATCGCTTTACTTTAAAAAAAACAACACAACAACAACAAACCTTCATAGGCTGTGGTCACACACACTAAATAATCCAGTTTCAGTCCACTTTCCAACTGGATTTTTACTGTGTGAACTGGCAAAATCCAATTGGAAAATGCAGTGAAAGTGGATTGAAAATGGATTATTTAGTGTGTGCAACCGCAGCCATAATCTTAGCTGCTCGATCTGCTCTTGCTTCCTGTGCATGGTTGGCAGTGTACTGGCTCGCAGACTCGACCCGGGACAAAGCGACAGGGAAGCGTCTTCCGTGTCCACTCCTGAGTACTTAAGTTTCTCATAAAAAAATAGACGGGAACTCTGGCCAGGGAATTCTCAGCGCACCTCTGCATGGCGACCAGGAAGCCTAAACACTAATCTCTCGAGGAAGGGCTATATTTATTTTCGGGTTTACGGACTCGTTTGCAATCCCCCCTCCCCATTCATCTGTAAAGGGCTCTGAGCCACGGCGGCAGAAAAGTTGGAAAAAAGAGGTGCGGAGGGGGGAGCTTCGCACATGCCACTGTCGGAACTGCAACGAAAGCAGCTGAACACTCTGATGGAGGTGTGCGCTGGGAGTACCACACCTGGCCCAAGATCTCCGGATCACTATAACTCAGGGGGACGAACTTCATTCAGCCCAGTGTGGCTTCCCTCTGAGGGCGTGACGGGGGGGGGGGGGAAAGAGAGCAAACCTGCCGGGGATTTGTACCGCACCAGCCCAGCTGTTGGCTTGAGCATGCAGGGCTGTGAGCAGCACTCAGGACGGAGCAAGGGGAAGCGGGCGCTTTCGAACCGGCCCAGTCGGCGCCCCCAGGCCTCGCATCGCCCACCATCTCCCTCCACGTGGAGTTCCCCGAGCAGCCGCCCTTCTCGGGCTGCCTCCTCTGGGGCCGAGACTCACACACCCCTCCGGCCAGGGCCAATGGGAGGAGGCGGGCTGGGCGCGTCACGCGGGAGCGGGCCCAGGAGGATGGGACCGCCAGCCCCGGCCGGCTACTTTGTTCCTGCCCCGCCACGCCGAGGGGGAAGAAGGCAGAGCGCTCGTGGCGCCGCTGGTCCCTGCCCCGCCGCCCGTCCTCGGCATCGACCATGATCGCCTCCCATTTGCTGGCTTACTTCTTCACCGAGCTGAGCCATGACCAAGTACAGCGGGTGAGCCGGGGCCCCTCGCCGGGCTGGGCGGGCAGGCAGGGTGGAGCGCCCCTCGCAGCTGTCCCGAAGCCCCGGCGGAAGGTGGCGCCAGGCGAGGCTTTTGTGCCCCTCTGCCGGCTAGTCCTCCGCTCTTGGCCAATGGGTGCCGGGGCTCACGTTTGCCTAAGGTCTCCTTAAGAAGACCCGAGGGGCGCTCTACACGTGGTCAGATTGGTGTGGGCTGCTCCCCCCCACTTTCGGTAAATAGGGGAGTTCACTAGGGATGGGCACTGGAGGGAGAGCCGGAAAGGGAACGCGCGCGTGTATTGGGGGGGGGGGGGGGCTTTGTGCGCGCGCGCCTGTGCTGAGATTCCTTTCCCGGTCTGGGACGGGGGCGAGGGAGAAAGGAAGACGGGTGCTCCGATCTGCGTTTGGCGTGGTCGGCTCCTCTCTTCCGGTCAAAGGAATTTATGACGAAGGGAGGAGAGGAGAGTTGTAACTCAGCTAAACTAAAAAGAAGGGAGGCAGGGGGAGCATCTCTGCCCCAGTGGATGTCTAACCTGAGGTTTCCCCCTGTGTGCCTGCTCGCTTTCTCCTTTCCAGGCTCCAGATACTGGAGTGGGGTTGCTTCCCCCATGAACGTTGGGAGCCGGATAATGCAGTTTTGGAAGGGAATTTCCTTCTTGGTAGAGCTTAACTTCTCAGCTCTTCCTGCTGCCTTCCGCCGGAGTTGAGGCAGAGCTCTGATTGGGAGAAAGCGGCGCCTCCCTCTCCTCCCACCCATCTCCATTTTGAGGCTCGTCTGGCCCAGAGGTGCTCTTTTCCAATAACACAGGCTGGTGGGAGTGCGGTTGAATTCCTCCCCCCCCCCATCTTGAAGACTAACATGGGTTGGAGCCTCAAGGCACTAAAGTAACATTGTTCCCCCCTGGGAATCTTGACCACCTTTGAAAAACTTGCTTGATTCTCAAAACTTTGCAAAAACCTTCGTTTATTTCTAAGGATCTGGCAGCCCTGTGGTGGGCGAGGCCGTGGGAGTGGGGAAAGAAGAATTCCAGAGGAGTAGCTGTGCCTCTTTTCTCTCTCTGCAAGAATAAGCAGGATTCTAGTGGCACTTTAACACATATTGCAACCAATGCTTCCTCTAAGCTGTGGAGTCTTGTGAGCAAAAAGTCTACTTTTATGAGCTACTGGCATTAAAGTTGTGAGCGAGCGATTTGGCTACTGCATAAATTAGTTTGCTTTGGAGCCATCCTTCCCGAGCTAAGACAAAAATGCGTGAGCCGGAGGCTAAAAAACTGTGAGCTAGCTCACACTAACTCAGCTTAGAGGGAACACTGATTGCAACACTAGCTTTCCTGGAGTAGTACCGCATATACCACTGTGACTCTGCTTGCAGTGGCTTCCAGCCCTGGTGTTAACTGAAGCGTTGCAGCGTCAGTCCTCTACAATGTCTACATCATGACTTGCAGGTACTCTGCTCCAAACTCAGTGCCGTAAAGAAGAGTGCACTGGAGCATGCAGGATGCATTTCTAGTAATCGAAAAGTAACTGCCGTCAGCTGACACCAACTTGATATTTCAGGCAAAGGTCACCCTGGTGTAGAGGGTTTGGGCTGTCTGTCTAGAGATAAAGCCTTGCATGTGGGCTGGTGATTACATCATGCACTAGCATGTGGGTTTCCATCCTTGTTTTAACTTTATAATGAGTCTCAATAAAACTTGCAAGCACAGGGAAGATGAAGTGTGCTGGGGGCTGAGATATGCGGGGCATAATTTCGGATGGGTCCGTGTGAGTTTTCACGGCAGCTGTGTAGGCTCCCTTGGTCGTTGCATGAACAGGAAAACTTTTCACTGGGCCTCATCTGCCTGTTTCCTCTATGGTGTTGTCATCTTACTTTGCTTTATGGCAAAGGCGTCCTGTAGCTTGCACACAAAAGTAGGCAGACAGGAAGCTGGTAGCTAGGCTGATGCAAACAGGGCCAACTTCTGCTTTCTCTTTGGGCTTCTGTCCTTGACGGGGGGGGGGGGGGGGTATTCCCTGAGAGTTTCTCTCTTGTGCCCTCACACACAGGTGTTTCCCTCTTTCTCTAAAGGAAATAAAAATGATCAGGGAAAGCTAACTCACCTCGAACAAGGTCACAGAGGGAAATCAGTGCTGGGGCTTTGTTTCTGGTTCGTGAACCACTGCAAGACATTCATTTCCTCCTTTTCCTTTCATTCAGGGGTTGTTTCAGTTTAGTGATCCTGCTTTCCTCTTGTGTGTAGCTCTTCCAGAATTAACGGGAGAGCTGCTGAGGTTGTGGCATAGGATCTATTTATGACAAGAACTGGGGTTAAGTTAGGTCGCATGGAGGAAGGTTTCCAGGGTTTATTGGGAGAAAAAACATCCCATTGTGGTAGGAGAAGGGAAGCTGGGTTTCTTTGGCGCACAAGGGACCATCTCATATTTCTGGACGGTGACATTTAATTTGGGACTCTTAGAGGGCAAAATATTATGACATTTCCTGATCCCTTTCTTGGTTGTGCAGCAGGGGGGTGGAGAGCCAGGATCCAGGAACAAGCTGAATGATGGTAGTAGGAGTGGGCAGGTTTTAAATCTGTATGCAGAAAGGCCTGCATCATTGCTATCACCGCCAATCAAAATAAAGTCTTAAAGGGATGTAGATGGAGATGTTAAATTGCATCTCTTTTCCATTCTCTGATCATTGTTCTTTTTATTTAAAAACACCAGTGTAGTGTTTTGTTGTTGATACTGCAAAATGCCAGAGTTACCTTGGTTTTAATTTCTGCCCAGGCAGGAATTGAATAATGGTGAATATGCCAATGCTGCATTCATATGAACGTACCTGGGTTGCTGTCCTTCAGCTGAAAAACAAGCAAACAAACAGAGTGAACAGCTGGTTAACACTATTTTACAAGCTTGCAGTTTGTGACAGCAGCAGGAAATCAAGGCTGAGAGTCCTCTTATGATCTAGAGGGTTTTTTCCCATTAGAAGAGAACCACAGGATAGGGTAGGAACTGATTTTTCCTCTGCAGTGGCTCAGCGCAAGGGATGTTTTATTAAAGTCCTAAATTGTAAGCTCTGACATCACTGAAAAGGCCCATTGAGGATATTGCACTGCTATGGATGGAGCCATGGCTCAGGGTCAGAGCATCTACTTTGCCTGCTGAAAGTCCTACTGTTAATCCCTGGCATCTCCGGTTAAAAGGATTAGGTACTAGGTGATGTGAAAGATCTTTCTGCTTGAGTCCTGGAAAACCACTGCCAGTCAGAGTAGACAATACTGACTGTGACCAGCTGCCTGACTCAGTGTAAGGCAACTTCACATGTTCCTTATGACGTTTCAGGCTCGTAAAAGTAATTGTCTGTTTCTCTTAATTAACAATTGTTGTCTCATTTTTTTGGCAGTCCAGACTGTGACTGCAATAGCTAACTAGCATGGGCCAGCAGCCTTTAATAATTAAAGAGCCAACCTACATCAACATTCAGAAGGAGCCAGTATGAGAAAGCCTATCTGCATAATTGAAAATATGCCACTTAACATTATTGATAATTGTAATGTATTCAGCCTGACATGCCCGGACTTTTCCGGGCTGGCCAGGCACAAACCATTTGTAGCTTGAGTCGAAAGACAAAGGATCTGAAGGATCCTAGCTGGCCCTATCAAAGGGCTAGTTTTCCAGCCGGGAGACCAATGGTCACCCGGTTACTGTAAATAGCCTATTAGGAGTAGGGGGTGTGGTTATGGGTATTTGGTGGCGGGTTTTCTGAACGCATATAAACCGGCCTGCGAGCTGGTCAGTTGTCTTTGTCCTGAACCTAATAAAGGTATGCTTAGCTGAAATCACTCTCCGTCTGCATACTTTTCAATAATTGACATGCTGGCTAATAACCTATAAAGCTTCTGTACCCCAAACACTGGTTGTTGTGAGTCTTTTATTAGAAAGTGAGACACACGATGTCTCATGATATGTAATAAATACGCACAGGAGCACCCTGAGTGCTCTTTGTGTTTTAGTGCACTGGCATTAACCTATGCATGGTTTGTGCCTGGACTGCTAGCAATTGCTTACCTCTATAATTTCCTATTCTGTAAAGCATCTTTAAATAGCCCTTTAGTCTCATAATACATCTATGCCAGCCTTTCTCTTCACATACTGGTCATTCTAGTATCCCACCTACTCCTCTAGTATACTTTATCTTAAATAATTTTTTTAAAGAATCATATTTGTTTCCATACTGAGTGACATTTGGCTCTAGAGCTGTGGGTCGCAGAGCGCTGACCTAGCAGGACCCCAAATAAGGGAAGTTGTTCATTTCAAGAGACAGAGAATTCCTTGTGTGAGTTTCTAAAACAAGCGGTGCTGGGTCTTCAGTCTGCCTGGAAACACACCCTTTGACATGGAAACCTTATACACTAATCCTTGTTGTGTATGGAGGTGGGTGTGGTTCTAAAGTGATGAGGGAAATGCCTTTTGAATGTTTCTGGAGTTGTACATTTCAAGACTAAACCCTGTCCTTGAAACCAGGTTCTGGAGCTTAAGGCTTGGGGCACGTTGGGTAAAAAGACCAGAGTAATACTGATTTCTTGCATTGGTCAATATTTCTAGGCCCAAATGGTCAGTTTTGGTTCAGATGCCTTTAGTTACAGGAGACTAGGGGTGTGCAAAAAAAAAAAAATTCGGCCGAACCGGGCAGAATCAATTTCGGCTGGCAGTAAGACTCCTGCATGTCAGTTTCGTCAGTACAAGCAGATTCGGGAGTCTTGGCCAGCCCTATGTCCATGGGGTCGTGAAGAGTCAGACTCGACTGTGCAACTGAACAACAACAACAAAAGGGTCTGTTGCCTCCCAGTAGCAGAACAACCAAATTTCCCACAGAATTTAACAATATAATGATTAAAACGATGGTGTGGTGGGAGTAAAAACAGGTTGGAGACCATATCAAATGAGTGGGGTGCAAAAAGTAAGAATCTGCTGTACAGCCTGGAAACTTCCTGGCCATTACTTGGCTTTTG